GATCACGGGCCGCAGGCAGGCGGCTTCTGGGGTCGCCCACGGGGGCCTGGATGGTGGCTCTCGCTGGCGGCTCCCGCTGTCCTGCCCTGCCTGCAGTATGCAAATTAGTCGGCATCTTTGTTGGCAGTTAATTTGCATATCTCGCTGATTAGCCAATGGGAGGTGTAGTGAAGGTATGGTCAATTACCATGTTTGTCTATTATTAGGATAGATGATTGATATGAACAGGCATACAGAATGACTCGACTCACACGCTCTGGGAAGGGATCACCACAGTAAGTTTAGTTAACACCTTCTTCTCATAGAAACACACACACAAAAGAAAACAATGTGTTTTCCCTTGTGATGAGAACTTTTAGGATCTATTCTCTTAGCAACTTTCAAATATACACACACAGTGCTATCCAGTCTCCAAGCGGTAACTACATCCCAGTGCTCACTTACAACTGAAAGTGTGCCTCTGACCCTCACCAGCTGCCCTGCTGCCCCCTCTGCCCCCACCAGTACCACAAACCTGAGCTCTTTTCTGTGGCTTTGTGTTTTTGTTGTTCATTGTTGCTTTTGTTTTTTAGATTTCACATATGAGTGAGATCATATGGTATTTGTCTTTCTCTGTCTGACTTACTTCACTTGGCATAGTATCGTCTAGGTCCATCCATGCTGTAAAGCAGGCTTTAAATCACACAAACTCGGATTTGTGACATCCACCTCCTGTCCTTTCGGTTAGAGAACCGCTTCATGAGCCTTGTCCCCCAGGTGAGGTGTGACCATGTGCAGCACGCTCGGTGTCGGGCTCTCCTGGGAGCACCCGGGACCTGCTCCTCTTAACCATCAGCTACATCTGTTCACTGTTGCTGGAATATTAGGCCCAAGAGAGCATTTAGTCTGTTAAATATCACTTTATTGCCATCATGTTCTGGTTAACTTTTCAAAATTCAATAAAAAATTTAAACTAACGGAAGTAAAAGTATACCTACTCTCACCATTGAAAAAATATAAAACTTTAAAGCAAAAACAAAAAAAAAGGATTTATCCTATCTGCACCTACAGTCCTATCTTGTACAGGAAGTACTCTTCACAATATGGCGAGTCCTTTCCTGATTCTACCCTTATGTTCTCTCTCTGTGAACACACACACACACACACACACACACACACACACACGCTTATCCTTTTTTCCACACAAAAACAAGGTTATGTGCACATAATGGCCTGCAATTTTTTGTCATGAATATTTTTCTTTTATATATATATTTTTTATTGATTTCAGAGAGGACGGGAGAGGGAGAGGGAGTAGAAACATCAATGATGAGAGAATCATTGATCGGCTGCCTCCTGCACGCCCCACATTGGGGATCGAGCCCACAACCCAGGCATGTGCCCTGACCAAAAATCAAACCAAGACCTGGTTCATAGGTCAACACTCAACCACTGAGCCACGCCGGCCAGGCAGTCATGAACATTTTTCTAAATCAGTATCTACAGCTCTTCCTCATTCTTATAAAATGGCTGCACAGCTTCACTGTAGGGCAGAACCATAATTTACTTAATGTTTACTTATTCAGGGACATTTGTGTCTCCAGTTTTTGCTGCTCGATGCACAGTGCTGCCTGAGTGGACATCGCCCAGACGCTGCTGCCCTGCGGGGCTCCCTCGGCGCCGCCCGGCCAGGCAGCTGTGAGGGCTTTGAGCTTTCAGATTCCAGGTCCACGGAGGATGTCTCGCACGCGCACTCCTGCGGCCGCTCCCTCCAGCATTTAATGTTACGGACCCTTGAACGCCTTCCTAGTCTTATAGAAACCACATTTTCTTTTACTTTAACCTTGCTTGCTCCTCAGTGAGGCTGAGTCGCTCCAGGAGTTCACTGGCTGATTGGGCCCTTCCCGTGCTGCCTGTGGGCGCCGCGCCTGCTTCTGTGTTGTTGGCGTGTGGGGGGCTCTGTGCACACGGGTGGGACTCGTCCTCGGCTCCCGTGCGGTGCTCTTCTGGGCAGGGCTCCATGGGCGTCTGCATCGCAGGCGCCACATGCCCGCGGCAGCTCAGTGCGCTGGGGCTTTCAGGAGCGACTGTATTAGACCTGCGTGCTGCGTGTCGCGATTCTGTAAAGGCTGCTGAAGGAGCATGTCACAGTGACTGTGACAGTAAAATGGTGAATGGCATTTTGGTTTCTGTCCAAAATGGTGTGTGCGCTGGCACAGTGTGGTGTGGGCACGTGTGGGGACCCGAGTCGTGAGTTGAGACATCCCGGGAGGGGACGTAAGGGCGGGGGGGGTGGTCCCCAGTGCCTGGGCCAGTTCTGATGTCTTTAGTTTTCAGTCTGTTCAGACTTTCATACCCTGTGTTTCGTACTTTGACTTTTTTGAATCGTTAATATATTCATGTGATTGAACATTTAGAACATATAAAACAAGTATGTTTTTCCACATTTGGTTCCCTGCCCCCATTTTCCCTCTGACAGGTAACCAAGTGTTGCTCCTTTTGTATCCTGTAGCTTTGGCTACATAAACATCAAATTAAACACTGCATGTCCTCTATAATTAAAACTATGGTAGCTGAACTGTACATTTACAAATGGTTAAAATGGTAAATTTTATAAATACATTTGCTACAAAGAAGAAAAACCTTAATAAAAAAGGGTGTCCAAATTACACTCACATGGTAGCAAGGAAAAACTTTACATGTCTGGCCGGAGTGGTGAGACCCGTGACTTAATTTTCCCATTTGTGTTACAATGTTTCATATTCAATAGTAATGATTTGACAAGGCAGGGAATCCTCCAACTGTGGTGAGCGGCCGCGGCCCCTCTGCTTTCAGCGGGAGCACATGATGAGCTGCTACTGGGAGCAGCCGCGGCCCGGGCCTGCCCGCCACGACCCCAGCCGGCCCTACGCCGAGCAGTACCGCATAGACAGCCGGCAGTTTGCACGCCTGTTCCAGCTGGTCTCGCCATGGACCTGCGGGGCGCACACGGAGATCCTCGCCGAGAGGACCTTCCGGCTCCTGGACGACAACATGGACCATCTTATCGAATTCAAAGCGTTTGCCAGCTGCCTCGGTAGGACTGCTGACTGCAGCACGTTGCTTTGGGTGTGAGTCTGTGAACACAGTGCAAGGTGTACTGTGTAGCAGGAACAATGAACTGTCCTTGTGAATGGCCTGACACAAGTTTGTGATTTTTAAAATCACTGCAGGCTCCTCCTGAGGTCTCTATGCTTCCTGAAGGGGGGACCAGGCTCTCAGCCCCCAGGTCACTGAGCTGTTCTCATGGCGCCGGGGAGTGGGGACTTGCTAGAAGCCACGTCCCTAATGCTTACACGTAAAAAGAGCCTTCGGAAGGCATGAGGCTTCCTGGCAGCTCAGCAGTCACCCGTCACCACCCCTCACATGCTCATGCACACAGTGGGCCTGGGAGCAGGGGAGGAGGAAGTTCTCTATGACAAGTGTATGTGAACTGCTTGCATCTGCTCTCTTTCCCCCAGACGCTATGTATAACGGAGAAATGAATGAGAAAATTAAACTGCTCTACAGGCTCCACGTTCCTCCCGGTAAGAAATTCTGAGACATACCGGGCTCTGTTCTGCCTTGACACTGACCAGCTTTGTGCACAACACGAAAGTTCTTTTTATTTTTTATTGGTTTAGAGAGAGAGGAAGGGAGAGAAGCATCTATTTGAGAGAAAAACATCAACTGTTGTCTCCCGTAGGCACCCTAGCTGGGTATACACCCTGACCAGGAATTGAACCTGTGACCTTTCTGTGTAGGGGACAGTGCTCTACCAACTGAGCCACACAGTCAGGGCCTCAAGTTCTTTTTGAATTTCATTTAGACTGGAAGCAACCAATGTTTCTTTTTTAAAAACATATTTTTATTGATTTCAGAGAGGGAGGAGAGATAGAAACATCACTGATGAGAATAATTGATCAGCTGCCTCCTTCACGCCCCCTACTGGGGATCGAGCCCACAATCTGGGCATGTGCCCTGACTGGGAATCCAACTGTGACCTCCTGGTTCCTAGGCCAATGCTCAGCCACTGAGCCCCGCCGGCCGGGCGCGATGTTTCTGACTTAGGGTTCTTGACGGCAGATTTGAGTGCCGTGCTGTGGCCGATGGCGGTGGCTCTGATGCGAGTGGGCAGCAGAAGCCTTCAGGACTTGGCAGCACACCTGCCTGAGCCCTGGCTTCTGACCCGCTGGTCCAAGGACCACACTGTAGGAACTGCTGGCCTGTGGATGTATGGGGAAGCCAGGCCTGGTGGTCTCAGCAGATGTGGCTCTTTTATGCTACTGCTGAAGAACCCCTTCAGTTTTCCAACATGTAAGGCCTTGCTTCCTTTAAATCGAAGCAGTGGTAACCAGGAACAAAGGAAGCAGTTTTGAAATCTACAGGACCAGACGTGGTGTTCACCTCCAGGTATTGCATGGGCCTTTGAAGTTGGTAGAGGCGGGTGAGGAATTCCAGGTCTCTGGCCTCACCACAGTCCTGGTGCGGGATGGGGGCCTCTGACAGAACTTCCCGTGAGGCGCCTGGGGCACTGTTAGGCTTCCAGGCCAAGCCAGTGGCTTTTACAGCTAACACCTGTGCCAGCGTTGGAAATGCACATATTACTATGGGCTTCTGGGCCCACGTCTTGAGGTTGGCATTACTGGGCTGATGTGTAACATTGTGTACATTACCTCCGGGGCGCGCTATGGCACTTCATTGCTACTTCCCTGCAAACAGAATCAGTGAAGTTCTTTGCCATTTATGCAAACATAATTTGCTCTTATTTTTCATGTTTTCCTACTAACATAGAAGACATGCATAGTTATTCCTTTATTATCATCATTGTCATTACCGTCTTTTCATAATCATTCTATCTGGTATTGCTAAATACGACATGATTGACTTAATTTTATTCAATGATTTCATCTTGAGTTTTAAATAACTTTGTGATAATTTTAGATTTATAGAAAAGTTACAAAGATCATATAGATCTCATTCTTGGTATAGCTTTAAATATATTAGTTTTTTATATCATTTGAGATTGATATTTGATTCTCAATACTTCATATTGAATTATTGTTTCCAAATTACAAGTTTATTTCTAAAAGGCATATTTTAATTATATTAATCAATTTAAGACCTTTATGGCTTCAGAAAATCCATTTTTCAAAAATGTTCTGAATATATAAAATTGTAATACTTATATTGTGTGACTCTGAATTTAAATTGTTAAATGGAAGATTTGATTTATTATTTGAATTTTTATGCAGTTTTTTTTAAAAAAGTCTTAAGAATGCAGACTCTAAAACCTGCAGTTAAACACATCAATCTGCCAAGGCCATGACGAGCCACAATACATTTAAGTATTTTCATTTAAATAAATTTAATTTTAACAAATAGATGCATTCCACCAATAATGAATAACTTTTGGATTAAAGGTAGGACAGATGCACTAGTTGGAAGAGTTGAACTCTCATGAGGAAGTTTGCTGCGGGTCACAGTGTGAATCTGGGCCCAGAGTACGTCTGTCTGCCTGGTGGGAGGCCCAGCGCCTGGCCCCTGCAGCCACTGACCCTGGGCCCGAGCTGAGGCTTCTGCTGCCACTCAGGAAGCGGAGGCAGGGCCTCGGGCCCTCTGAGTTCTAGGAGAGCTCACTCATTGGCTCCACTGCTTAGCAAAGGCAACAGAAAAGAAATGTCCAGATGATTTGCTGCTGTCTCAGGTGACACAGGGCTGAACAGTACCCCAGAGACCAGTAAGTCAGGATGACCCACGTGTGCCTCAGAGGACAGTCTGGCACTCAGTTTATACCCACCGTCTTGGTTCTCTCTGATCGGGCCTTTCTTACGGTCACACTCAGGAACAATACTGAAAATAAACTATAATCTCCCACTTTTGGGAACATGCCCGTATGTCAAAATACCTACTGGAAACCAAGAAAACTGAAGGGTCACTACACTGCTCTAAGGACCACATTATTACTACTTTTTAAATGTATTTTTATTTCAGAGAGGAAGGAAGAGGGAGAGAAACATCAGTGAGAGAGATTTCATTGATCAGCTGCCTCCTGCACACCCCTACTGGGGATCGAGCCCACAACCTGGGCACGTGCATGTGCCCTGACGAGGAACCGATCCATGACCTCCTGGTTCATAGGAAAGGCCACATTATCAATGAGTACGACCGACGTGGCATACATGAGCAGGTCACCAGCCGAGGTGGAAAGAGATGAGCTAAATGATGACTCCTCCCAGGATCAAGAACTTCCTTCAGAGAATGCAGTCAGGGTGAAGATTCAGTTTGAGAATGATTCTGAAAAACAGATGATGTACTGAGGAAACTTGCAAAGGTCAACTTCTCACAGGACACAAAAAGTGACAGTTCACCTTCTGTCTAACAACTTGGCCAGTGCTGACATCAGCCAGGTAGAAGTGATGCCAGGCACACTGGTTTGGCAATGGACAGCTTGGGTTTGGTGAGAGATCTGTTCTTTGGATTGGAATCCGAGTTGAAAATGCCACTAGAAGATTTTTAAAAATATGAAGTGTAGAATACAAACTGACTTAAAAAAAATTTTGTGAAATTATTGCCAGGAAGCCATTAAGATATTAGATTAATCCAGTACTTATATACCTCAAGTGACTTTTTTACAGTCGATACCTGAGACACCAGTTGGATACTTTACACAACTGGTGGTCTGTGAAGTCTGAAAGGTTGGCGACAGCTGCTTTAGTTGGTTTTCTCATCAGTGACTCGGATATACTGGAATTCCTAATCCAAATTCAAGTCCCATATTTGTTTTTTCCAACCACGTTGAGGGGGTAACAGGAGAGCACTATTTTGCTTTTGCAAGAAAATATGATGGAGAAATGCATCTGGAGGCCAGATTGTATTGAAAGCAGATGTAAGAGATAAGGGAGTTTCAGATAACCAAATGTAAATCATTCACCAGATTTTAACTTGTGCAGTCCTTGAAGTGAGACATAATGAAAACTTTAAATGTTTAATTCATTTATAACCTTGAATTATGAATTTTATACACACACACACACACACACACACACACACACACACACACACACACACACACGAGGCCTGGTGCATGAAATTCGTTCATGGAGGGGGGGTTCCCTCAGCCCAGCCTGCACCCACTCCAATCAGGGAACCCCTCAGGGGATGTCTGACCACCAGTTTAGGCCCGATCCCATTAAACTGGCGGTCGAACACCCCTCTCACAATCTGGGACCACTGGCTCCTAACCACTCACTTGCCTGATTGCCCCTAACCCAGGGGTGGGCAAACTTTTTGACTCGAGGGCCACAATGGGTTCTTAAACTGGACTGGAGGGCCGGAACAAAAGCATGGATGGAGTGTTTGTGTGAACTAATATAAATTCAAAGTAAACATCATTACATAAAAGGGTACGGTCTTTTTTTTTTTTAGTTTTTATTCATTTCAAACGGGTCGGATCCGGCCCGTGGGCCGTAGTTTGCCCACGGCTGCCCTAACCTCTCTGCCTGCCTGCCTGATCACCCCCAACTGCCCTCCTCTGCCGGCCAATTTGGTTCTGATTGGTCAGTTTCTATGTCAGTCAGTGTCAAACCTCCTAGGCAGACATTGGCTCCTCACAGTTGACCCAGATTTGGTTTTGGTCGGTCAGTTTCTATGCCAGTCAGCATCTCTGGGCCTGATCAGCAGCCCCGTGGAGGCCTGGAGAGAAATGGAGGTGCGGCTGTTGGCCAGGCTGGGAGAGAGAGGCAAGTTCTGATCAAGGGCTGCCACAGTGGCTACGGATCAGACCCTGCCTCTCTCTCTGCAGGCCTTTCTCTGGGCCTGATCTGCAGCCCCCTAAGGCAGTCAGTGCTGGGTTGCCACGAGCCTTAGATGTTACGACCCTGGCTCGCTATTATATAGATTGGAATTACAAAAATAAGGTTACATTTATAATAAAAGTTCAAATAGCTCATTAAAAGGCTGCAAGTACATTTGAGGATTGTATATAAACTCGGTTTACCCTCTTCCCTAATGCATTGTGTCCTAGTGCCCAGTCAGGTCGTGTTTTCTGTGCCAGGACTGGAGAGGTCGGAAGCCCTGCTCTGTGGTTGATTGACCTTTCCAGTTCCGTCACTGTTGACTTTATCTGCCTCTTTTCTGGACACTGTCCACCGTGTGAATCTTCCTGCCGTAGGCTCCCATGACATTTGTGTTTATTGGTTCTTGCGTTGAAGCATGTTAGTGACTTGTGAATAGGTTTGTTTGGTATACCAAGCTCTGAGGATAGAGACCGTGTCCTGTTGACATCTCAGGGCCTGTTTCCCAGGAGTCCATTTCCATCATGCTGGCTCCAGGACCACCCAGTGTTTGTAATTTTCCTCCTATTCAGTTCTGAGTGGCTTCACATGTGCCACTGTGTAGAATTTGTCTTGGGTAAAGTTGGGAAAGAGAATGACTATCTTTGTAATAGAAAAGAAAAAAAATAAGGAAAAAAACAGAAACCTGTCAAGGAGAGGGTAGCTTATCAAGGCTTTGGTACCATTTTGTGGGCATTTGTTCCATCACAACTGAATTTTGCCTTTGATTTCACAGTGAATGGTTTACAAATAAGCTGAGGTTGCTTTTAAAATGAGGATCCTTTGTCCATAATCCCCTTTATAAGTTTTATTAATCTATAAATCATACTGTACAATTTATTCAAAGTGTGCAGCTTGTCATCACCCCAGAAAGCAAGCCCATACCGTGTGGCTTTGCCCCAGTTCATCCATTTTCCTCTGGAGCAGCGGTTCTCAACCTGTGGGTCATGACCATCGGAAAACACATATAGCATATCAGATATTTACGATTCATAACAGTAGCAAAATTACAGTTATGAAGTAGCAACAAAAATAATTTTATGGTTGGGGGTCACCACAACATGAGGACCTGTATTAAAGGGTCGCGGCATCAGGAAGGTGGAGAACCACTGCTCTGGAGTCTACAGACTTGCCTTGCCCAGGCATTTCATAGAAAGGGAATCATGCGGTATGTGCTCTTGTCTGGCTGCTTTCACTTAGTACGTTTTAAAGGTTCATCAGGGTGGCAGCATGTACCAATATGTCATTTGTGGCTAAATGTGATACTCGGATTTACGGGCATGCCATAATTTTTCCATTCACCAATTCTTAGGAACAACGCTGCTACAGGCATCGGTGTACAAGTTTTTGAGCTGACACTTTTCCATTCCCATTTGGTGTATACCTACCTGTCTAGTGGAATTTTGGGGTTGAATAGTAATTTAACTTTTTGAGGAACTGCCAGACTCCTTCCCAAAGGGCTGTAATACCTTCTACTCCATCAGCAGTGCATTAGGGTTCTGATATAACTGGACCTTTGTGCAATTCAAAACTTGTAATAAAGTGCTTTGCACCCAGTAAAGCTTTTTGCAGTTTGTTAGAAATTATATAACAGCATGTGCTCAGGGGAAAACAACACGAGAAGTTTAAATTACCTGTTATCCCATCTCAAGATTCTGTGTAAAATTTGTGTGTAGGACACACGTACATATAAACTGACTTGTATTTAAACACAATGGATCTTACTCCACACACTTCCCGGCCAGTGCCTGTCAGTCCTATGAACTGGCACGTCATTAACCGCAGCAGGACCGGCACCAGGGAAAGGCATCACCTTGGTGTGCACTGGGCTCCGCAGACCCTGCAAAGGCTGCAGCTGAGGTTGGGGGCTGCTGGCTTAGCTTACTTATCTATTAGCTTCTTTACCTAAAAAGCTTTGATTTTGGTTACAGTAATTTGTTCAATCTCTTTTTAAGCCCTCACTGAAGATGACCAAGACAGCCAGTCACCACTGAAGAACCCTCTGCTGTCCACATCAAGACCCCTGGTCTTTGGGAAAGCAAACGGCATGTACCTTTTCACTGTCAGGAGCCAGCTGGCGGCTCTCCTTAGACTTTCCCCGTCCTGAGACTCAGTACTGAGCACACTGCTTCCCAAGGCCAGGAGCCCACAGGGCTGCAGTGTCCCGGGTGACTGCCCACGGTCCTCTAGTAGCAAGTCACCCAGCAGCCACACCCCCTTCGTGGTCCATTGCTCTCTCCCCTTTACCTAGGCTGTTTGTAGATCTTGGTTTAATTTCTCATCTCCCCTTCTCTGTTTTGCTTTTACTGAAATTATTTAAACTATATATTGTTTCCTTTGTCTCAGATGATGCCTCCGACTACAAGAAACAGCTAAAGCAGATGATTAAGGATTTAGCCAAAGAAAAAGCTAAATCTGAGACTGAGTTGCCCCAAATGAGCCAGGTATGGACTATATTCTGTGTGAAGAATTAACTTTTGTCGATCTCTTCAGAAGTAAGCCTAATAATTAAGCTGGGGCTCCTTTACCACCAAAGCCATAATCAAAGGGTTTTGTAACTTCTGGGAGCTAGACATTGTGGTAATTAAAATGTCTTCAGAACAGGACACACTGCTTCCTAGATTTTTAAAAAATATTTTTGATTTCAGAGAGAGGGAGATAGAAACATCAATGAGAAGGAATCATTGACCAGCTGCCTCCCGCACACCCCTTACTGGGCATCAAGCCCACAACCTGGGCATGTGCCCTTGACCTTTATCGAACCCAGGACCCTTCAGTCCACAGGCTGAGGCTCTAGCCAGAGTCAAACTAGCCAGGGCTGGTTCATGTCTTTGAAAGGTTTTTCTGTCACACCCATTTACCCAGGTCGTGATCAAGAGTCAGTTTCTTCCCTGGTGATAGCATATGGGAGCACTGTGGACACAGCTTTCTTCCCTAAAAAACTAGTGTACTCCAGTTGCTTCAACACCAGTTGAATCTCCAAAACCTTGGTCTCTATGCCACATCCCAGCACTTGTGGGTTGAAAGGTGTGCACACACTCAATAGCTGTGTAGATGAATAGCACACTTCTGAGTGTGCTGAAATTCCTTGGAGGCAAAGGGCAGAGGCTACCTTTTCTCATGTTTTGCTTCCAAGTTCTTTTAAGAATGCATTATACTTCCATCCTGGTCATGCTGCTATTTACTTTTTTGTATTCCAGAGAGAATTTATCCAGTTCTGTAAAACTTTGTACAGCATGTTCCACGAAGACCCAGAGGAAAACAACTTGTACCAAGCCATCGCCACGGTCACCACGCTCCTGCTACAGATCGGGGAGGTGGGGCAGCACAGCAGCAGCAGCAGCTCAGGGAGCTGCTCCCAGGAGAGCGGGGAGGGGCCGCGGGCCTCAGCACCTTCTCCTGAGCAGGACTCTGTTTTTGCGGACACAGACACTGGGACAGCTCCCCAGGACGCCAGGGCATTTCCTGAAGAGGCGGAAGGGGACTGGACAGTCTCCCTTGAACACATTTTAGCTTCACTTCTGACTGAACAGTCATTAGTAAACTTTTTTGAAAAGCCACTGGACATTAAATCCAAACTTGAAAATGCCAAGATCAATCAGTACAACCTCAAAACTTTTGAAATGAGCAGCCAATCACTGCCTGAACTTAAGCAAGATAGTGACTTGCTGAGATGAGTTGGCCATAACAAAGCAAGAACCACCCATTTGTGGACTGTCAGCCCCATAAATCCAGATTTCAGTCTCATTCATTCTGAGTATAGTCTATGTTCTGGGCATCCAGATAAGCAACCTGACAGCCCCAACTGTGGCCAGAACTGATGCAACCCTCAACATTGTGTTCTTTATTAATAAAGAGGGAGAGACATTGATATTGGTTGCCTCCCATACAAACCCTGGCCTGGGATGGGACCTGCAACCTGTCATGTGCCCTGACTGGAAATCAAACCTGTAGCCTTCCGGTGCGCAGGATGCCGCTCCAACAAACTGAGCCGCAGCAGCCAGGCCAGGCTGTTTGACTATCAGATTCACTGAAATAGGCACCGCTGCTGTGATGTTTTCATTCAGATAGAACACAGGTCCAATGCTACATGCTAACCCAGACTAAGAAACGCCCAAGCTCATTTTTCACTTGGATAATGGGAGGTCTAGAGTCAAGTTCACTTTGAAGATCTAAGAGCCACTGTCTATGCAATTGCATCTGGCTTTTTCTTTGCACAAATTTTGTTTCAATGCTGGTAATTGAAACCATTTTAATATATTTGGTTGTATTCACTTTCCTTACAAAAATGTTGTGTATAAATCATGCTATCAATGTTGGCCTCTAAGATTTTTAATAAGAAATTTTTGTACCGACTTTGGTCCTTGTTTATACCTCGCAGTTATTTGAGTTCTGAGGTCTGGGTTGTGCAGTGAACAGAGGCTGGAGGACTTCCCCCTACCCCCCAGCACCTGGTGCTCTAAGTCAGAGTGCACCACGGTGGGGTCTTTAACCCTTGCAATTCTGCACACAGTAATGCAGTATCATCCCTGCAACACTGTTCTCAGCCGTATTCAGATTTTGGGCTGGGTAAGCTTTAGCCCCATGTAAACTGGAACTAAAAATATCTCATGGGGCTTTACAAGTGAGCTAAGACATTAACTGTACATGTAAATTACCCCATCAGAATATCAATTACTTTAGAAGACAATTATATCAATACACATTAACCCTTTGTGGTCCAATGTTATTTTTGGAATTCAAACAGTCTGGTCCAAATTAATTGACGGGATTGAATGTTGAACTTTTTAATGTTTATTGCTCAACGTTGGACCTGCTCCTAGCGCCTGTTCTGTTGAGTCAGCCTCGAGGTTGGACCGAAAAGGGTTATGAATTGCATCATTTCAGTTTGTTAAAATGAAAAGTGGCCAATGGCAATTGAGTTCTACAAGCCAGTTTCTGGGAAATGTTTATCTTTTAGAATCTACGAAACATGCATATAAAAGCACTAACCATTGCACCTCCAATGTCCCAACTACCTGTGGGGTCCTAAAGCCAGGCTACACGGCCAAATTACCTAGAAAACCCTGTTTAGGCCTGTCTATATACTCCAACTCCAGGGGCTGGGAAAAGGGATACAGACATTGTATTAAAGAAACCTCTCCAAATGGTTCTGTAGCTGGGAACTACTTTAAGGTTACAAACATTACGCTGCCGTCAGAAACAAAACCAACCTCCAAGGCAGTTGTATAACTTTATTCGACCGTCAGCATTAGTTCTCGTCCACGTTCACGGTCTGCAGACCTGCAGGAGAGGAGGCGTCACCTTTCACCCCGCGCCCTTCCCAGCGGCATTAGTTCTCGTCCACGTTCACGGTTTGCAGACCTGCAGAAGGAGAGGAGGTGTCACCTTCCGCCCGCGCCCTCCCCAGCGGCAGCTTGTGGAGCGGCATGAAACTTACTTTTGAAAGTGGTGACAGGCACGTAGGTGACCAATGTGTACAGCTTGTTTGGTGAATCTTCATCCTCATTACGTTTTCTGGACAAACGTACCCGGATACGATATGGGACATTCCTAATAAGAAACATAAACGTGTTGGTCAGGTCAACGCCCCCTATCATGACACAGGCACCGGGGTCCTCAGACATCCTGTCCCCACTGCTGTCACAGGCTTCCAAGGCTCCGTCCTTTGTTCCAACCTGATAGGGAGCCGGCAGGACACCTGACCAACGTGGAAATGTGAGCCTAACTTGCCAGGTCCTCTCCCTCTGCCACCAGCACAGAAACTGGTGATGGGCTTGTCTAAAAGGTAAATCTGGAGAAACACCCCCCTCTGCAGGCTACACTGAACACGGGACAATGACATGCGCTTTCCCTGCCTCAGGCAGGCAGTCCACTCCTCTCATTGGTTGGAGGATGTGAAGTGTCCTGAAACCTGGGACTCTTGGCTTCTGACACCACTCCCCACTTATCTCAAAGGAGCCATCATTGGCGGCTCCTTTGTTAGATACATTTCTACTGAACTCGAACTGCTGGCCCACTGCAGGCTGCTCTCAGGGGTTGTCATCCCACTCAACCCCAACACTGAAAAGCCACCCAGACACCACACCCTGCCCTACACCAGCTCATACCACCGCCCAGCCCCTACCACTTCACTGCCCTTAGCTAGGCCCACCTCCATGCTGGTACCTTCATCGTCCTTCACAGCAAAAACACCCTCCTGCTTCTAAGCAGGGTTTCTTAACCTCAGCACTACTGACATTGGGGCTGGGTGGCTGGGTGTTTCTTTGTTGTGGAGGCGGCTGTGTGCATTCTAGGATGTTTCCAGAACCCTTGGCCTGTGTGCAACCCCACCAGTGATCACCAAATGTGTGCCTGGGGAGGGGAGGTAAAATTGCAAACCAGTGCTCCAGTGGCTTCTAGAGATAAAGCCAAACTCTTTGCCACGACCTACAAGACTCCCCATGATCTGCCTCCTGCCTAACTCTCCATCCTCATTCTGTTCTTCAAGTCACTTGTTTGACTTCCACCTTCATCAACCTGTTCCCAGATCACACCACATCTCTTTGTGCAACACTCCTACCAGCCCCTGCACTGCTGGACCCTCATTTGGGTCTCATTACAAATACCACATCCAAAGGCTTCTCTGCAGACACTAACCCCCTTTGAGTTACTGCCTCACCATTTTTTAATAATTCCACTAGAGGCCCAGTGCACGAAATTCGTGCATAGGTACGGTCCCTAGGCCTGGCCTGTGATCAGGGCCATCTCCCCCACCTCCCCGTTCGCCACTGGGAGATCGGATCTGGCCAGCCAGGAGGAGGGACCAAGAGGTCAGCTGTTCTTGCCCACTCACCAGCCCCGCCCCCACCACGGGCGCCCTGTGTGGGTTGACCTACGGGGCGGGGGCCTTGGCCTGGCGCCACCCGCCACCCACCCTCGGTTCCCTTTCGCCATCCGTCGATGGTGATGGAAGGAAAGGGACTGAGAGGTGGTCAGTGCTCCTCACAGTGACTGGTCAAGTGGTCGTTCAGCTATTAAGGTCAATTTGCATATTGCCCTTTTATTACATAGGACATGCACCAGTGATTACTGAGCTCATACACAGGGTGCAGAGCAAGTGGATCAGCTGGTGTAATTTTAACTCTTATAACACGTAACTTCCCACCTTATTCCTTTGGCCCAGACAGCTTTGTTGAGCCTGGTGTCAATGCGCACGTCTGGAGTCCCCATCTCCTTCATGGCAAATTTCCGGATCTCCTTGAGTGCCCGAGGGGCACGCTTCTTGAAACCCCTTAGATTCAAACATAAGTAAAAAATGAATTAAAGGAGCACAAAATTAAATTGAATGTCCTATTTTCATAAAAAACCTAAACCAAACTTTAACAAGGCAGAACAATCCTTTTTTCCACCAGCGCTAATGCCCAGCAACTGGTATAACAGGAGCTGCATCCCCGCTTCTAGTGACGGAGGATAAGGCTCTGCGCACAACCCTTAAGGAATGCTAGCACATACCATGGCCCACCCTTTCCTGATAAGCAAAAGCGCCCCCAAACTCTATCCTGTCAAGAGGAATCTAAGAATGCCATTAGAACATGCTTGAACACAAAGCATACACTGTACCCCATAGGAATATGGTAAGTAGATTTGTCACACCTTCAGACACAGCATGTTTTTGGAGCCCACTCAGTACGAATTTAAGTTCCCTACCCTGGTCTGTGCTGAGAGCAGAGGCCTGCAGTGCACAGAGCCCCTACCAAGTACCTGAGGTCGAGTCAACGCTACTGAGCTCTTGGGAGGTGCCAGGCACCGTCATTAACTCCTGACGGTCCCAGCTCTGAGCTCTCACCTTCTGTGTGCTGTTTAGATAAGGACACAGACATCCATTGAAATTTAATGCTTTTACTTAAAAACGTGAAAAAGCAACACTTTACTACAGGCGGAAATGGTCAAACATTTGTAGGCCAATCCAAGGGGGCGCAAAGAGAACAGTCTAAAGAGGTGCTGATGTTTCTGTCTCTCCCCCTTCCTCTCTGGAATAAAAATTTTAGCCCTGACTGGTTTGGCTCAGTGGATAGAGCACCGGCCTGCAGGCTGAAGGTTCCCAGGTTCGATTCCGGTCAAGGGCATGTACCTTGGTTGCGGGCACATCCCCAGTGGGGGGTGTGCAGGAGGCAGCTGATTGATGTTTCTCTCTCATCGATGTTTCTAACTCTCTATCCCCCTCTCTTCCTCTCTGTAAAAAAAAATCAATAAAATATATTTTTAAAAAAATTTTTTTAAGCCCTGACCGGTTTGGCTCAGTGGATAAAGCGTTGGCCTGCGGACTGAGGGGTCCAGGGTTCGATTCCAGTCAAGGGCATGTACCTTGGTGGCGGGTACATCCCCAGTAGGGGGTGTGCAGGAAGCAACTGATCGATGTTTCTCTCTCATCGATGTTTCTAACTCTCTATCCCTCTCCCTTTCTCTCTGTAAAAAATCAATAAAATATATTTCTAAAAAAAAATTTTTTTTTTAAATAAAGGGTGTTCACTACGTGACTGTCAGAAGGGGCCCCACAATGGTTCGTTCACCTCTGTAACCCAACGGCGCCTAACAGTGCTCTTTCCTGTCAGGAGGCAAACGTATCGGATGCAGTAAGAGCAGCAAACGGAGCCTGTCACAGGGACTTCATTCTGCTCTAAACCTTCAACAATGTCCACGACCCACAAAAAACCCGGCTCTCCACGCCCCCACAGCCACTTGACCATGTCTCCCCTGCTCCCTACTCCTCTCACCAGCTCCTGGTTATTTCTACAAGGTCACACCATTCACTTACATGCTTCACCACCTAGAAGCAAAAGGTGCCAGAGGCCACAACAGGGTGTGAGACGACCCCTGGAGTGCATCAGCTGGTGTCAAGTGTGACAAAAACGGACTCGGGAGAGAGCACTGGGACGGGCGGCGGGCTGGAGTGGGACGGCCACGGAGATGCGGGGCCACAGCTGACGGTGCCCAGGCAGGGGTGCGTGAGGAAAGCATTTACGGGCGAGGGGCCGACACAAGCCAGCTTCCCTCAACCAGGACACAAAGTGGCCAGTCCATGAGGAACCACAGCAAGTACTTTGGGTTCCACTCTGGGTGGGATGGGAAGCCAGGGGAAGGTGAGGATACACCGGGGTTTGAGGAAGGGAACCAGGAGAGGGAGCTGCAAACTAACCACCCGAGGGACAGAGAATGCCGCAGGGACCCGTGCGATGGGTCGGAGGAAGGGCAGAGCCAAGAGGACAAGCTCCTTTGCCAGTGAAACAGGAGGGCAGGGGTGGCCTGACCCAGGAGCCTGGCTGGGCCGTGTAGCCTGAGATGTAGACAGCGGCCTACAGACAGAGGGACGGAGTCCTGGGACTCCACCAAGACGGAGAAGGAGCAGCTAGAGAAGAAACAGGGTTTGGTGCCACGCAGGCCTGGGCTTAGGGCTTTTGTAACAAAGCACAAAGTGCCGGAAAGACTCGCTCACCTGCAATGGCCCACCTCCACTTTCCAAGTCCTAGGACTGGGGTGGCCTGTAGAGCACCCCTTTTCACTCGCATATTTTAGCGTTTATGTCTAAATACGTGGTCTAACTGCCTGCAAGTGAGCTGGGAAGGCAGGACCTTTGGGTTCCCTGCTAAACCTGCAAGGGCCGCTGGCAGTGCCCATCACAAGAGCCTGGTGAGAATAAAGCTCAAAGTGAGGGAAGCGGTGGTGGCCGGCCGCGGTTCCTCAGAAGCAACATCAATGCGCAAAGGCCCCGATGTCTGCTCCGGAAGCCACGGAGACCCCAGGCAGGCCGGGGTGCCGCGCCGACAGCCGCCGGTGCCCACGAGCTGCACCTCTGAGCCCCTTGAAAAACACGTCGTCCCAGCGAGGCCGCCCATCCTAGTACCTGGCGCCCCAGACGCAGGTCCCCCTCCCTTTCGCCTCGGGTCACAGCCCGGCCAGTGCCCACGCCCGTCCTTGTGGGTCAGAACCAGCACAGCCCGGCCAGCGCCCACGTTCCG